AAAATAATACATATCTGCTTACATTTATACCACTGACACTGAGATTTGAGACTTAAAATAAAACTGGGCTAAATCCAGACCTGAGGTGAGTTGATCACTGACTTCAAGCATAGTGATGATCACATTGACCTCTCTCTGACTTGGGCCATATACTGTGTTTGCAAATTGGAAAAACCTCATCCAAGGTTTATAAAGCCTAAGAATGTATTGCATAAGCATGTCCTCATCAGACTTTTTAAAAAGCCTTGAGACTATCAAGCCAAGATGATAACAGATGCTATTTCCAGAGACAATTGGGACCTAGAAGAGCATCTTTCACCTTCAAAACGTGGGGTTTTTAAAATCCTATTCATGAGGCCAGGCTCTACCAGCAGGATGGGCAATCCCTTCAGCCATTCACAGCTAATACTTTGAAGTAAGAGTGCTTAGAACATGGCAGTGCCTGCATCTCCAGCGAAACACATGGAAAACTTGCACAGGTGATGGATGCAGAAGATGATAGGAAAATAATGGATCTGCCCTGGATATGAGAAGAGCAATTGAGATCAGTCAGGCCCTAGAAAAGACAAATAGACTATAACTGATCTCCAAAAAGCAGGTGTTAAGTAGTGCCAGAGAAGAAGTGGAGTTCACTCTGCATGACCGGCTTGCAGTGCATGACCATAATGAGATCATTTGTCCAGGACAAACCACAAAGAGAAAATGAGTGACATCCGGAATATGGGAAAGGGAATTGAAAGAGATTGAATATTTCAGGAGTTCTTGATGGCTTTAGTGTTTCCTATAGATCCCTTTGCTACTCAGATGCATTCCTCAATTCTTACACTGAGGTTACTGCATCAGTATTTACTTCCTGGTGTAAAACTTGTACCCAAACTCCCCCTCACGTGGCTTCACCAGTATTAGTTGAGTTACCCAGGGGGACTGGTTTGCAAACCACTAGAGGGATCTCAGAAGTTTGAGCTAAGAATGGGAATAGGTGAGATTTCCACAGCTGATGTGCATAGTTGAAAACTTCAGTTACACTCTGCACTGAAACAGGTGAGGAAAGGGGCAGGTGCAGAGAGCAGCCACTGAGAGCCCCACACAAACACCTCTGGACTGTTACACTCCCCGAGGCACCCACCCTTCAGCACATGTCACCTTTATGAGGCAGGCTTTCTGCAGGATCTCCAGAAGTCTAGTTATGGCCATCACCCTCAGTCTTCCTGCATGGCACCTGCTTTGGGGTTGAGCTATTCAAAATTGGTTCAAAGACTTAAAACAACAAAAGGTAACAGGTGTAAATCACTTGTCTGGACTTGTGTCAGATGAGGAAACAGAATTTGCTTGTGCCATGCTGTCTTACAGCTCTTTGACTTCCAAATGCATAGCCACACTACCACTTCTGTAGCTTCTGTAAATTCTCTTATCTACAGATACATGTGCAGTGCTTTGCACATACACAGGGAAAATTTTAAGGACACTTGTTATCTTTTCACTGAAAAGCATCAGTCATGCAGATTAACACTGGCTGAGAGTTTTGTCCATCCAGGATAGAGATATTTTGACAATAATGCCTGTCAAGACTGAATAACATTAGGGCATACTTTTATTCCTTTTTTCTTTTTAAAAACATCTTCATGTTATGAGATTTTCCTTGTGCTCTAATACAGCTACATGTTGTGGAAGATGTTCAGTAGTATTCTGTGAATAAGCCAGATGGGAGAACTTGCACAAACAGTACAGATTATATTGTTCTGCCAGCACTAGACAGAGAAAAAGTAATATGAAAGTTCTGCTGATGCTGATACCATGTTAATGAGACAATAAAAGTTGGCTCCTCTGAAGGCCAAGTTAAAAAAAAAAGGTAAATATGAACACAGGCCCCCAGCTGAAGAGGAGAGCTCATATGAATGACTCTGGACAGTACACTGAGTGATGGTGGGTGACAAAGTTCTCAAAAGAGGCTGAGTTATTTTTTACAAAGTTATTGTAGTCATTGAAAATCACCAGTTGAAAAGCGATTCTGTGGGATTCAGGAAACTCTTGGGAGAAATAACATTTTGTTGTCTGTGTCAAAAAAATCAATTCCCTAAAAATATCTCAAAGTCAAATAAGCCAGATGATGGAACCCTCTGGCACCTAACCCAATTAGCATGAATCAATTTGTTCATTTATCAGAATAGCTTTTCCTTCCCAATTATTGTGATCTGTATCAAAGATCACTGCCATATCTACTTTGTTCCAGTTACTGCACTGGCAATAGATGCTGTACAAACACATAGTGGAGGGCAGTTTTTCTGCTGTGGACCAATGTTCAAACAGACATGACAGCTGACAGACAGGAGAGGCAAAGAGCTGTCCCTTCCCTGCTTGGCAAGGGAACAGCTCTGCCAACCTGAGCAAGCAGAGCCAGAGGGAAGCCACACACACCCAGAGCAGGGTCTGTGCCCTCCATTGGTGCTGGTCAGAATACTGGCCATTAACCATATGGCAAAACACTTCATGTTAGAAAATCGTTGGCAGTGGCTTAGAATAAAGAATCATTTTCTGGGCAGACCTGGAATTCTGTCTGCTTTTGAGGAGTCATGTCCTCAAAGAACACGAATATATGCAGCAGTTGCATGTTTACATTTTTAACTTTCATGCTGTAAAAACCTGATATGCATAGTCTTCTTTTTTTATTTGGTGAGAATTGCTGTAATATTTGAGTCTGCAATGGTCTATTGAAAACAGACCCCTGACTAGGAAATATAGAGTTTAGATGTTATAACTGCTAGTAATTTATTATTTTGAGATTGGCATATATTTTGGCAAAGTTTAAGTTGGCTGGAGTGATAGTGAGTGATGAAAGATGTTATGGCTGCTGAGAAGTGGCTGAATTCCTTTGTTTCCAGACTTTTCACTTTTTTTTCAAGGCGCAGAATGTTTATATAGAAAGTGCAATATTGTTTTATGAGTATATGCTGGACTCTGCTAAAACCAAGCACTCAAGCTTTACTCTTTTAACAAAGTGTTTGTTATGGAATTCCTCTGGGTTTTGATGTTTCTAAATTAGGGTTAAATCAGGTTGGTATGTGGGGGCCATGGGAGCACAGGCCAGAAGTGACAAGCTGTCTGATGTCTGACAGGGTGCACTTCCACTCCAGGAGGTGATGTGGTGGCAGGAAGAGAGGACTCCTCAACTGGGCATGAAGGACCCATAACATAGGGGCACAAAAAGGGGGGAAGAGGGGATTTTAAGCATTGGGAAAGCTGTCAGCATTTTAAGAGTTGGACATCTTCAGTGAAAGACCCTGCCTGCCCCTCAGCTGCTATCTGGTCCACCAGAGCCTGCATGTTTCCTGTGTTTTATTTCCATCGTCTGGAACATGAGCACTTTTAGTTCCATGGTTATAAATTATCATTCTTCCTTCCTGATCATCTGTATTTTTCCCTCCAAGACTGTGGTACTTGATGAGCCATGATACACTCAGAAAACAAATTATTGTTTCTGATATTTCTCTGCCGCCCATTTCCTCTGCATTTATCTCCTCCAAGTCGGCTGCTCATAAAACTCATTGGCTTTCTGCCTTCAGCTTGGCTCACTAAACCCTGGAGTCTGTTTCCAGCCTTTTTGTTTTTACAGTAAAGGACAGAGCTCTGAGCCACAGCATCCCAGGATGTTGTAGCAGCAGAGAGAAAACCTTTAAACCATTAAGAAACGGAAGCTGCTAAACTCAGTGTTTTATTGCTGAGAGCATCGAGGCTTCCTTCAAGCTGAGTACAAGGAAAAAGAGCAGAGTCCCTACCAATTCACAAAGCTTACTAGGAATAAGAGTCAGTTTTCTGATTCTATCATGCAGTCTGTGTCGTAATAACTTTCCAAGTCTGTATTCTCCCATTTAGTACTCCACTTTAATGAAGACCTCACATTGCTACTCTGCTCCTAGTTGTGCACACTACAATCTTTGTAAGCCCCTTCTCCCAAGTAGCACTGAGCACTTCCAGTTCTCAAAAGACAATGCAAAGGTTTTCCTCCCTGTCCTAGCAATGCTAGAGAGCCAATAAGCCAGTAAGGAAAAAAAAAAAGCAAAAGAGCTTGTTTCAGACAAATTTAAGGAAAAGGCATATAAACCCTTATCCCTATTAAAATAAAAGACCAAAATGCCAGTGGCTTCAACATGCATTATACCTTTCAACTATACAATTTTAAATTTTTTTTCAAACTATTAAACATATATATAGATTTAGCTTAGCACTGAGAGGCCTCAGCTGGAATCCTTTTCACAGTTTTGGGCACTGTGCTTAAAAAAAGATGTGAACCAACTGGAGAGAATCCAGATGAGAGCAAAAAGAATGATCAAAGGTCCAGAAAATGTGATGTATGAGGAAAGACCAAAAGAATTAGGTTTGTTTAGACTAGGGAAGAACAGTCTGGGGGGAGACATGACAAAAGTCCTCAGACATGTTAGACTGCTGCAAAGAGGAAGATAAACTGTTCTCAATTTCTACTGGAAGTAGGCTAAAAATCAACAGATTACAATGGAGATTCAGATTAGACTTTAGAAGAAACTTTTTTTTTGGTTACAGCAGTTATACCTGAGAAGAAAATTACAACGGAAACTGTGGGATCCCATTGTTTGAGATTGGGGTACTGGTATAGTCCAGTCTCCTTTGTGGTAGAAGCATGAGTAAGACTGGTCCTAGTTCTTTTCACTTATTTCCCCCCATGTTTGATGTGTTGGTGATGTGAAAAAACAATTCATATTTTCTGATGGAATTTGGACAGGTCTGACCTGAGTGGTTTTTGAACAGAAGATTATTGCAGCCATAACTACAAGAGTTAGTAATACTACCTTGTGGCCATGTTTGCAACTATCACACTCAGGAAAACAGGGAAAAATAAGATTCTGATTCTTATCTGCTCTAAAGTCCCTACTTATGCTGGAGACTATTCTGGCAGTGGAGGCCTGTGTCAAAGATCTTGTCAAAGACAAAATCCTAAATGTTGTACAACACACCATCCAGTGATAGACTTCTATGAACTCTGTTATATAGAAAGATTTAATACAGAAAGGAACCCAAACATGTGACACTTTGTCAGAAAGCAAAAGATTACATAGTACATGTTTTTTGGAATGAATTTACAATTAATTTTAACTATAAAACAGAATGAAAAAAACCAGGCGAAACTAAGACAAATGCAGGGTGAATTGAAACCAAGTGGCTGACTGATAATTCCAGAGACAACTGGGAAAGCAAATTAGGACTTCTGAGGTCTCTTGTTTCAATAGGTGGATTTTTTGTTTCTGCTTTTTTGTCTGCTTTCCTTTATAATGAAAAAAAAAATTTAAAAAGGCAGGATTGCAAAAGCCAGCTTGTTCCTCAGTTTTTTTGGTGCTTTCTGCTAAGCAGCTTTGGAGCTACAGAGGTTCACAGTCTTTCACATAGACTCATGCCCTAGAAGTGTTTACAGTGAGAAGAAGAGTCCTTAAAATACATGACCACACAGAGAATCATATGGTATCTTCAGATGTTTGCATCCTGGCTGGGACTGTGCATGAAGAGGCCTCCCTGCTCAAACAGGCATAGGTCACCGGGTCTGTGGAAATAGTGATTTGATCTGGAGCTGCTATAGGTACTGGCTTTTGAGGAGGGAGTTCTGCAGAGGAGGAACTGTCTCTTTTGGCTGAATGTTTCCAGGGCACAAACTCGGGGTTTAGAAGGAGTACTGTGATACAAATATCCTCAGCCGGATGACAGAGCTTCCTCTGAAGTTGATGACGGTGTTAACAGTGATCATTTCCAAGTCCAACTCAATAGTACGGGGCCCCTTCACGGGACGGGTCATCACCAGAGTAGCACTGATTGGTCCAGTTTGCTGTGCATAAAACAAGAGAAAGCAAGTGAGATTGCCAAAAATAGTTCTTCAAAACTACTGTTTCACTACAGTCTTCAAGCAGCCAAAATAGGTGTTTTCTGTTTCATCACTGCAACTGATGGAACAGAGTCTCATTTCTGCATTTGGCTTCTTTTCAGTGTGAACTATTTATCACCTTCTACAGTTTGTAAAGCCTTTGGGAGCCCTGCACATTGAAGTAGCTATTGAACCTAGACACTTGCTATTGCCCAAAAAACAAAAAAAAGATGAAAACATGGTATAAACAAGTAATGATACCTTTTTGTATGTTTGTTTGTTAGTTTGAGGTACTCTTTAGTTTGATGTAAAGGACAGTGTTACTGTAAAGCACAGACACCCAGAAGGGGTTTTGTTAACAGAACCTGGAGTACAGGTGTTCCCAGGTGAATGGGGTCTGGGTTTGTGGTACATTGTGCATGTTAATGGTAATTGTGCATGGTAAACTTTACCCTCCAAAGAGAGCTTTGAGTATGCAATGGCACTTCAGAAAACCAGTCCTTTATTAAATGGAAGCAGAACTCTGTAATATCTGACCAGAGCAGTGGATTATGTGCATTTAAAAATCAGAGCTGCTGATGTTGAAACCGACTGCAGCTTGTTTTCCTTCGAGAACTTACATAGACACAATGGGTCCTGTTTTACCTGTCCAGTTTTACCTCAAAACTGGGTGTTTGTTACCTTTGATCAGAGAAGGCTGACATAGCCATGAGGAGGTGCTGGGCATGTTGCCTGGTCCATGGCAGGCCAGGTCCTGGTGCCTCAGCAAGGGCAGAGTGTCCCTCCCACTGCCCAGGGAATGGCTGCACAGTAAATCACTGGAACAGCAGGGCAACGGGGCTGGGTGCTGGGCCCTCAGCACCTGCTGGATCAGCCCAGATGAGGGGAAAAGGTCAGTGGCATCAGTAATGACTTGGCAACAGGAAAGCTCTTGTGAGATGTAAATTATTGTAACTGGCCTGTCAGTTCAGGATTTTGAAACATTTTTCCTTACAGTGGGAATCTGAGGTTCTTGTGAGAAATATGTCCTGGAATCTATCCCGCTACCTGTGCCCCTGAGGGATGGAAACCTTCAGTAGGCACAGAACAGGACTTAATGTGAATGTCAGAGCCAGGCTTTGCCTGGGGCTGAAAATCAACCACCTGAGTGTCACCATCCCTTGTGGATGTGCCCTGATCTCTGCAGACACCCCTGTAATCTCTGCATGTTGGTGGTGTGGCAAAGATGACTGAGGAACACAGAGCCCTTCTAAGGAAAATAAATTAAAACCCCCCCAGGTAATTACATTTTCTCTATCAGTGTCTACATAAAATATGTGTTCTCAGTGAAAAAAATTCATAATAAATGAAAGCAAAGAACCCAGAAAGTCAATTGTTGGCATAAAGGGGTGGGTTTTTTGCTTACTTTTTATTGGTTTTCACATTTTTCAATTTCCAGTGAAAAAATTTAACAAAACAGACAAGAAACATTGAGTCTTTTGGTGACAGTTGTTGATTGCCCATCAAATAAAAAACAGTTTGGCCCAATAGTTTCTCATGAGCTTGGGAAACCTGAGCTATTCTTAGACATGTGTACAGCTCTGGGCTTTCCTAAACCTGTCTCTCATAGAAGAAGCGTGTTTGCTTTGGATAGGTTACTCTCCTGAGAGATCCAGCAGTTCCTGCAGATCAGCACACTGCTCTGCACATCTGTGTGTAAAAAATGCCTCATATTGAAGGTTTAAATGATAGTCATGAAAAGTTCAGTTGTGACTCTGTACAGGATGGTGAAGGGCTGGTCTCTGCACCCAGGGTTTTCAGCTGGACACATGCAGCGGCTGATTGTCAGAGACAGAATTGTCATTAGGGGTTAAAAATTGCTATAATATTTGATTCTTTATATGCTAATATAGGGTGCATAAATAAATAAACAAATAATGTTGCTGACCAGCTAAAAGAATCAGGTGCATAAATAAATAAACAAATAATGTTGCTGACCAGCTAAAAGAATCAGTGAAACTTGTAATGAATTTTCTCACTTTTAGAATTCTCTGTATTGCTATTCTGGCCTATATCCTGCCTCCTTTTTCTTGTCTTCTCAGCCAAAATACCTTGGCATTCTCCTTAGATCACTTAAAAATGTGAACTTTATTTCAAGCAGCCCTGCAGGTGTAGAATACTCTGTTTGTTCTGATAGTAATTTAAACTGAACTGTCCCCAAAATATTATTGGATCATTTCACTGATAATACTACATAAACAGTAGTGACTTTTGTTTTACCATATTTTGTATACTACATGAAAATGTACAGTAGACGTCCTGGATCAAACCAAAGTTCTAACATCAAATGCAGAGCCTTAAGGAAGAAGAGGATAGCAAGCCAAGCATATGACAACATTCTCCAATTGTTTGTGACTCAGGGAATCCTTGAAACAAAAATTCCTTCTTTGTATTCATCAGCTACTAAAGCATTTCTGATCTATCAGCTTTTCCAGCTTCCCACATGAATGTTTGGCATCCACAGCCCCCTGTGGCCAGGAGCTCCACAGCCCCCTTCATGTCTCTTCGCATGGCCTTTCTGACTTTATCTGATGCTCCCAGATGTTCTACTTGAAAGGAGAGCAGTCAGTCAGTCCCTGCTCATCCTCCTCACCCATCTCAAGGCTTCATATTTGACCTTGTTCGTGGCTGACGTGCTCTAACTTGGCTGTTCTTTTCAAGGATGCTATTCCACACTTTTGATCATCCTCACTGCTTCTTATGAACCTTTGTTCATTTATATTTCTTTTGACAAGAGGGGAAGGAACTGCACAGTCTTAAAGATGTGGTACACAATAGCATGTGGTCCAAGTATATTCTCTACCTATTAACACTGAAATTCAGATTGCTTTTCTGACCTCTAGTGATCTGACCTCTGCAGATCATGGAACTAGAATCCTCAAATTTCAGTTTGCATGGATTATGATCAAATCAATGGTCCTTATTTAATTTGCGAATTTGGGATTTTCTTTTTACTTTAAATTTATCTACACTGAACTTTATCTGCCATTTTTATTGCACAGCCATTGAGGCTTATTCTATAATATTTTTTTACCCACTCTTTTATCTACTGTTGTCAGTACTGTTGCAGACTTTGCCCATCTCTCAGTTAATTCCTCTCCCCACATTGCTTATGATGGACCAAGTAGGTCCAGCTCAGACCTCTGCAGCACTTCAGTGGGAAACTTGACAATCTAATATTATCCTCTGTTTAATTTTTATCTTTCAGGCTCTTATTCTTCAGCTCCAGGGACTTTTCTCTGTTACTTATGACTGCTTAATTTCCATAATAACTATGTGAGGGTCTTTTCAGAAGCCTTTGGAAATGCAAACAGACTGCATCAGTCTATGTGCCCTAGCCATATGCTGCAGATTTCGTTGGGGAACTCTAAGAAAGTTGTAAGGCAGGATATCCCTTCATAAAAGCCATGTTGGGGGAATTGACTGGGCAAGGATTTTTTTGACTCTTTTTTCTATAATCTCTACTACTGACATCAATTTCAGACAGTGCATCTGGCATGTCCCCCCTCAAGAGGCTCCTGGCATTACAAACACCCAATTCCTTCCACAGAAAACGCAGATGCAAGGAATTCACTTAGTTTTTATACTGACCACTTCTACACATATGTCACAAATTAAGTGCAGTCCCATCTAGACATGAGCCAAAGCCACCAAACACAAAGCTCAGAGATCAAGAGTTCTGGTGCAAGCTGCTCTGCAAGGACTCTGTAGTTGGGCTCTGGAGAATTTAGATACAGAAGATTCATTTATTTAAAATTCCTATTTAAGACTCAATCACCAAGACAGGAAAACACAGAACTAGATAAATACTATGGGTCCACTCTTCAGCTGCCCTAGTTCAGAAAGCAATGTAAATACATTACTAAATTCTAAAGGAAAGAGGCTAATTATTATTCTCTTGTTTTTCTATAAATTATATTAGGTTACCAAGCAATTCCCGGTTATTTGGTTTAGTGCAAATAATGAAATTTGAATAGTGAATGAAATAATGTGGACTGCAGGATATTGAGATCTGTCTGGAACTGAAATATTTTGAGCCCCAGCAATTACATACAAAAATGTAAAGGAAACAGGCTATTTTTAGAAGTATTTATTGTTTGTGTGCTCAAATAATTCCCAGTTGAGACAGTAACAGTGCTAACAGCCCCATCCAGACATACATACCCCGTTTCTGGGCAAGGCAGATCAGCCTGTGAACTATTCAGAACTTTTAGCCTTTAAGCAATAAGAAGCTATTTGTATCCTGCTCTATCATCTGATAATTTAAAGTACTTCCCAGGCATAAACTTGTGGACCTGATTTTTCTGTGACTGAGAGTTACAGCCTGTCAGTGGCTGATCTGTTCCCAAGGGAAAGTCTCTTGAGAGCACCTCTCACTCAAGGACTATTATTGTAAATAATCTCATTTTCTCAGAACAGTTCTGTACACCTGTGATGAGTGTGTTTTCTCTTGTCCCACCAATGAGACAGAGAGGTGGTGTTCCCTTTACCAATCATGTTAAATCTGTAGTGTAATACCCTATAAAAAGCTGAAAAGTTCAGATAATAAAGCTTTTCTTAGCATCTTGTTTGGGTGCTGTGACTGAATCCACCATTCTACTTTGTGTCCAACAGTGACATAAACTAATTAGCGTTTGTAGGAATTATTCCTACTAATAAACAGGCTGCATTTGAGAATATATGAAGTCAGATAGTAATGTAAGTAAATGTCTCTTATTACATCACAAGCCTTGCTGTTTTCTCAGCTGATATCTGTCCTTCCAGTGTAACTTCACATACATCTGAGTATGATATGATATGGTATCATATCAGATCATATAATATCACACCTGGTGACCTGGTAAGGAATTGCAACTTACCATTTTTATAAAGCTTACCAGTGGTAAATATAGCAATAGCATGTTTGTATAGCTCTTTAGACAGACTTCATGGCTGTATTGTAATATTGTAGCTTATTTGGTTTAGATGCAACTCTCACAGACAGAATTTGCTTTTGTGGCTGTGGGTACGTTACTCACTTCTCATTAATCTGGAGATAAGGCTCCTCACATCGTACTGGATCTAAACACTTATATTCTCCTGGGATATTGAAGCATGTCTGCTGTGAAGTGCAGGTGAAGTTTCTTATTTCACATTCATTGATATCTAAAACACAAGGAATGAGAGAATGGCTAAAGCAAGGAAATATGTACAAGACACCACTCCTACAAAACAAACTGTTTTCTGTTTTAAAGAATTACCCCGGAATTCATAAACTCTTGTACTGTGAGAGGTGGCCATTTTATAACTGACCCCTCTTTTAAGATCAGTTTTCACTCCATTGATTTCTGCTTATTAGAGTGCTCCCTCATGCTAAATGCTGAAAAAAAAAAAAGGGAAAGGACCTGGCTGCTCAAACTTTTTGGTCTTAGAGCACGGGAAAAGTAGACATGTGCAGCAGAGGGGAGAGCATTTGAGGTCTTTTCTGTGTAGCTGTTTCCTAGCCAAAAAGTCTTACTTAAAACAACACACCAATTCACCTCAGCAGGAATATTCACGTGATGACATTCTGACAAGAATTGCATAATTGGCCCCTACGAGTATTTCACTGTGCAATGCCAAGACCAAGCATCTCAGCTCTTGAAAACTCTTTCTTGAAAAATTCTTTCTAGACACAGGATCTATTTCCTGGTCCCCAGGAATTTTAATCAGTGCAGGAATGTTACCTTGGCAGCTTCTATTGTCGTCAAGCAAATTATAGCCCGGAGGACAGGTACAGTAGTAAGAACCAGGCCCATTCACACATTCGTGCTGGCAGAGGAACTCTGAGAAGCTGCATTCGTCCATGTCTGCAATGGTAAAACAAAGTTTGGTGTCTTTGGCTTTACTGTCAAAAGAGCAGTTCTGCAGACAGGTAGCCATCCAGACTACCTGCCCATCACCTCAGCTGGAGGCTGGCAGTCTCCAGCTCCCTAGAGCTCTGCAGTGACCTGGCAAAATGCTATACAACAAGTTCTTGGTTAAACACTTTTTTCCTGAGGAAACCAAACCTGCTGCTGAACACAATGTATGGCTTTTATTTATTTCTTTTTCTTTTCTAATATCTGTCACCACTTGGCCATGTTTTCATTCCTGTTTTACGTCAGAGATACACTCTGACAACAAAGCTGCAACTGTAATTCAAAAGGAAAAACTTGGCAGTAGTTTGGGTTTTTGGGATTTTGTTTGTTTGTTTTTCTTTTTTTCTTTTTTTTTTTTTTGGAGAGCAAGCTTTGCCCTCCCAGGGCCACATGGGTTCCAGCAGAACTCCTGCAGCCAGCCCTGTCTGTTTTATGTTTCTTAGCCTCTAGTTGGTTACTTCCAAGTCATTCCAGCAAGACTGTAAGAGCACATCCCAGCCTGGGTCAGACATGCTGAAAGGTCCAGCCCTCTCCCAGATACCCAGGAAGCTAGGCAGTCTGTGAAATATCTGATTGTACGCAGAAACTGTGCTCTTTCCCCCTTGCACTCATGAACTGACCAGCCACTGTGTCAGTTTGCAGAGCTGTGCTCAAGTGAGAAAGATGAAATTCAGGGCTGCACATGGAGGCATGGCTGACAGAGGGGAAAACACATGCAAAGGCACTAGGCTGAGGGAGGCTGCCACTAATCATTTCCTTATTTCCCTGTTCAGGGGAAGAAGGAAACAAAGGCCAGAGCCCCAGCCAGGAACTCCCAAGTTCTTATTCCCAGCTCTGGCATGTCGACTCTCCCAGGCAAATCACTTTTACTCTTCAGGCTGAATTTCCCTTTCTTCTAAATTGGGCTCAGTCCATTTATGCACTTCCAGTGTTTTGTGCAGATGGATTGGAAAGTATTTGAAGTCCAAATATATCCAAGTGGCTTTAGGGCTGAAATCAGATTATCAAAAGAGAGATGAAAGGAACTCTACACCTACATGGTCCTGTTATTGTGTGAATTTCCCCAGTGAGTTCACTGAAATAAGCACTTTCCTGAAAACACATGAACTGAGGGCTGACTCCATAAAGTGACCAAGATATCAGCCACCCTCTGCAATCCTAGCCCAGCCCTCCAAATTGGATTCATATAACTGGTGCTTGGCTGCTGTCAAGTGCTGAGGGACCTAGAGCCCCTAGGGTCCTACATTTCTGCTGTTGAGCCCACAGTGCTCCTAAACACTTCTGGCATTCTGACTGTGTGCAGACAGCAGGATGGTTGTCATTTCAGAGCACGTCTAATGCACTTGGAAGACCTCTGTGATTAGAAAATATTGATGATGTTGGGAAAGCTGGGTTGAAATCTCTGCCTCTCTCCTTGAATTTGGGCAAGAATGCCTCCCAACTTCAAGGTAAGTTGGCTGCTAGACCCCGCTGTTGAAAGTAATCTGAATCCTGGGTGTCTCATAAAGAGTGTTCTCCTAACCAGGCATTCCCTTTGCGAGCCCCAGATGTCTAGTGATTGCTGTGAAGTGGAAGAAGCTCATCCAGAGAAACTTGACCTACTTTGTTAAACGTTTTCTTGCACAAGACTGTCAGGAAAAGATTTTCTGCTCTATATGTGGATGGTGGAAAGACCCTTTTGCTGTCTTAGCTCTCAGACATGGATGAGGCTCAAGCACCACTTTATTGGGCATTGCAATGAATTTATCTGGTTCAGACCCCCAGGTAGCTCAGGAGGTGAACATTCATAAATAACATTCAGGAGTCTAACTTAGAAGAAGAAAATCCATCAGAAAGCAGAACACTAAGTTAGGTGTTGCAGTCTAAATGTTTAAATCTTAAGACCCTTTAGATATTTAATATTTCTTCTTTCCCTTATAACATAGAGATTTGCAGGAAAAATATCTTGGGAAACACTAATCATGTACATTGCATCTCACATGTCTTCTCTCAGAAATAGCATGTTACATCTGTTTACTGTAAATTAAAACTCAAGTATTTTCCAGAGCATTTTTTCTTCCAAAAAATATTGGCTGAATTCTCTAATTTTGTCAGGCTGATGGAATAATAAGCAAAGAAATAAGTTTTTCCTTCAATTAAAATAAAATAAAATAATAAAATAAAAACAAAAACCAGAGAGGAAAAATTACAGTAACATAAGCACAATTTATTCTGCTGTGTGCTAAACAGGTCATCAATAACTGTACTAAGAAATCATATATTGTTCCTAAAGTGAAGCCAGACCTGTACAGGGGAAACTGAGGAAAGTTTCAGGCAGAAGTGAGCAGTCATTAAGAGCAAGAGAAATACATGCATTCAACAGACAAATGGAAAAGTGCTTTATAGAAAGTATTTCTTTAACAATGGAAGAATGTTCTAGGACTATCTCTACTTGCTCTAATAAAGCTTCCTGTCCAGCATTACAAAGTGCTTTCTTATGTTTTGATGTTACCTTGCATCTTTTGAATATTTAGCTTATTTCTTTAAAACATTTTGTGGCCCTCCTCCACTGAGCTTTTCTGGGTATTTGCTGAGTGCTGGAGCTGCAAAGAGGTTCATATGAGTTGCAGCTATCCTGATGCTACCAGGGACCAAGGCAAAAAAACATTTTAAAGAGTATGTACAAAACAATACCTTTGAAAAAGTATTAAAGAATTAAAGAAACCAAAATATTAAATAAGACAGTTACCACTGCAGTTAACTCCATCAGCTTCCAGTTCATAGCCAGGTTCACAGCGGCAGAGGAAAGAGCCGTAGGTGTTGACACAAGTCTGAGTGCAAGGGTTTTCACTTGTACATTCATTCACATCTATGGGAAACCAATGCCAAATTCATCAGTGACTTCTCCCCAAACCTCATTTTAATTTTTTTTACTGCAGAGCATTTCAAAGAGAATAGCTGCACAGTCAGAATGATTTGTTCTGAAAAAATATAACCGAGCCAGTGTTGTTTATTTGGATTCAGGTTGATGCACGGGAATAATATGTTGGAAACACAACATGTATGGTAGTGAAACATTTGGGAATGTCTTCAATAAAAAAAAGAACATGGAAGATGGAGATGAAATTTTTATTACATATGTTTCTGTCCTTATCCTGCAATTTGAAAACTATTGAACCAATATTGTCATAACAGACCTGAGAAAAAATACAGCAGGACTTTCCTGAGAAAGATAATGCCATGATGAAGGGTCCTTATTGGAAACCTCAAGCAAAGGCAAAATAAATATTTTTTACCTTGTAGGACATTAACAACTTCTGGGCATTGTCAGCACAGCCCTTTTCCTGCAGCATGTGAGAAAATGCTCCCTGCTTTGTTAAGAAGACTGTGAAGAGCTTGTGTTGACTTTGAGGTAGCATATCACAACAAAAGGTGGTCTAATGCTTAATACTCCAGTCTGGATCTTGGGAGACTCTGATTTACTGATCTGACAAAGGTTTCCTGTCTCAGTTGGGTCACACAACCTCAGATTTTAATAACAAATTCAGTGTCTCAACACTTGGTAACTCCACTGAATTGAGTGAATTAAGGTTTGGGCCTCTGTGTGTATTTCTCCTGATACACTGGTCATGTTGCAGCCAAACCCCTTCGAGGTACCGGGAAACTACAGAAATATCCGTCTGACAAACCTGTGAACTTTTTTTAAAAGCAATGCTGGGAAGGCTACTTGTGTTCCAAAAGCCTAGCAAGTTTTAAGGGTGTGGCTGAGGGGGGACCAAAGATTTCAGCCAAGGTTTCCCATACACATACCTTGGCACGATCTCCCGTCGTCGTTAAGGGTAAAGCCGGGGTTGCACGTACAGGAGTAGGAACCGGGCACGTTGGCACACAGCTGCTGGCAGTAGCCATAGCGACATTCATCTATATCTGTGGGTGGGAAGGATGGAAAGTAGAGTGGTCTGCATTTTCACATGAGACACAAAGCAGCAAGCACATTGAGCCAAGAGTATCGATAACAGAGAAATAACCCAGCACACTGGTCATGGATGTAACAGCCAAGCTTCCAGGCGTTCAGACATGGTGTTATAGTTAAAATATACCTATCCCCAGCAGAATGGGGTAATGTGGTTTATCCACATCTGACATCCACCAGTGTGCCTGATGAATTGATTGTCATTGCTATAATCTTCAATTTAAATCAGGGTTTGTTCCTTTAAGCAGCTCCCTCAAAGGATACCTGACAGCTGGCACAGGCTGCCAGCTCAACCACAGCCAACATTGCAGCAAAATTTTGGCTGAATCAAAATAGAAAGCTTCTCTTCCTCCACATATACCAAAGCTGCTCACTGGTACAGCAGTGTTTGTTACTACAGGCTTCATTTTTAGTGAGGATATTTTTTATTTTTTATTTTTTCCCAAATAGTCACATTCTCTTTTTATATGAATTTTTAACTGACCAATTACAGACTGTATAAACAGTTAATTTATTGCCAAAATAGCAGTTTGGGCTGAATTGCAGCATTAGCAATGAATGCAGTTGAGTACTGTGAGCACAAGAAAATGCTCTAAGATATGTAAGACGGTAAGGGCTAAAAGATTTTTGCCTCAGAACCAAAAACTAAAATGAAACACCTGGAATAGTTGTCCTTTCAAAGCCTTAACATTTCCTTTGGTATCAACTAGCTTTTGATTTATGGAGATTTCTTTTAACGGCTCCTTTAAAGCTTTGAAGCTAAGTTTATGCAATAGAAAACCCAGAATATTATATGCAGTCAGCAAGATAACCTAAAGGCCAGGTCAGTGGTGGTGAGTACACCAGCAGCAGGCTTCACCAAATCCTGCAAAAATAACATGGGTTTGAAGTAAATGAATACCTCATTGCACTGACACAGTGCACTACGTTTAGTACACACTTTATCTTTTTGTAGGACTGTTATCTCAAGAGTGCTACATTTTGAGGATAAGGACTTCTACAGAGCTGCTTCTTGTGGGTAGGTCATGTGGATACTGCTGCACTGGCTCCACTGTGGAAGCTTTACAGGATAATTGCAACAGAAGTGTAGGTTTTTGCACCAGTGATTTACTAACAGTAATTGGTAATTCCACTGAATGACACTGCACTACTAACAGTGCACCAAAAAAATCTGTCTCTAAACCCCAACCTGGCCCTCTGATTACAGTAAATATTCCTCTACTGCTTTATGGCAGCAAAAATCACTTCTCCAAAGCCAGTATAAAGTATGGAAACTGAGACGACTTTGCAATTTAGGGGAAAATACAGCAACTCTAAACACAATTTGCTTTTCCTTTTTTGCATTCCTTGCAAAAATCCACCCCATAATTACTTAAATAGGGCAATACTGGGATGCTATTCCCTATTTTAAATAGTGTAAGGAGGTACTTAAATCAATTCATCAATGCAGCCATTTCAGTTCTCTGCTATAACCATCAAGCAGAAGAGTATTTTAGATCTGTGTTCAAATCCTGAATGCTGCACACAGCCCTTTCATTTGGCCTGTAACTGGGAGAAGTAAATGAGCAACGGAACAGGTGATGCAGAGCAGAATCTGCCTGCCTTCCCTCCCTCATCCCCACCCTATCACATATGACTGTACATTCCCCAGCACAAGCTTTTTTTTCCCAAGAGCTGATTTATCAAAGATTAAGGAGCAGGGGCCTTGGAGACTTCTTATCCCAGGGAACTACAAGCCAGTAGTGGCTATGGCTGCACAGACCGCAGCTTGGACAGGGCTCAGCCTGGTGCCTGCCAGGTGAATTACACAGCAGCTGTTTGCAGTAGTTAGGAAAGCAGCCATGAATGAGCCTTTCACAGAATTGCTAGCTGGGAGGAGAAAGCTGGAAAATAACTGGAGATGCTCCAGGGACGAATGGGCAGGGAAAGCCCATTCTCCTTCCAGTGGAGGCATGATGGGATGGTCCAGCTCCGCAGAGCTGGCACCAAACAGCCAGCACTGCAGGGAAAAAACTAATAATGGGCAAATTTTATTAAATAAGGTTGTATGCTGATTCCTAGGTCCTACCTGTGTACCTAAAATTAACGCCTACATCATCATCCCCTGAGCATGTCAAGTGAGGGGAGAGGGATGGAGGAGAGAAGAAATGAAAGGTTTGTTTTCCTGTGCTGTTTGTTGAGTGATGTTTTTTCAACAGGACTGAGCTAAAAGGATAAACAGGAAATTGCTGCAAGGAAAATAATAAAATTGAAATAAAACCACCGATGACGGAAGATCGTGAACTGGCACCTAGTTCAGAGGTATTTATTATCAGTCCCATTTCTTGGTATCAAACACAGACCCTTTGAGGTCCACACTGTCACAGTAAGAAGAGCACAGGTCTGTTTGGGCAAAAATCTTTATGCACACATGCTTGCAATTGGTCTTACATGAAAGGGAATCCTTCAGACTGAGAATATGAAAAGCCCAGTTATTACACTCTTACGATGCTCGTCATATGGCATTTACATCTACAGATTTGTTCCATCAGGGACTCTCTCTGCCAAACCTCTCACTGGCACTTACAGAGACAAAGGAGTTTCCACATAGCTGAAGGTTTAACTGTGTGCTTGGCAAAAGTGCTTAGTGGCATTATTTCAGGGAGTATACATACACAGATACTCAGATACCATATCACATGAGGATTTTACCTAAACACTGGCCTTCTAACAGCCAGTAGCCTTCAGTGCAGGAGCAGGTATAGCCCCCCTCAGTATTTATGCAGATCTGGGTGGGGTTACACTGGTGAGAATCTGAAGCACATTCATCCACATCTGCAACACAGAAATAGAGGAGGAAAATGTTAGAAATAGCAGCAACAAAAGATTTTTCATATTGTACACTGTGTACACTGCCTCTGTGCAAGGAATCAGAGTTTAGAGGAGTAGAATGACCATAACCTGAAGGAAAATTCACAATAATAAATGTCTGAGGGCAGTGAGAACTGAGGATGCACATCAAATCTCTCAGTTTTGCAGGTGACCCAGTTTTTCTCCTCAAGGAAAGGCTTGCATTATCTCAAACTTTTTGCTACTTCCACATTTGCTATGTCACTGAGCTGGGATTTCCATGCTACAGGGCAGTCCTAGGGAGAGGCTGCTGAAAGGGTTCTGCTACCCCACTGAAAAACAAGACATGAAGGGCAGTTTGAGAGATGAACAAACACAACTCAGACATAAAAAATAAAAATTACTTTTTACCCCCACCAATGCAGACCATCTCACTGTAATTTTTCAGACAGAAAGTTCAACCAAAAATCAACCTTTACCTGACCAAAAAATGTATACTTCCCTGGAATCAATTTCCTGACAATAATACTATTTTTTTCCAATCCCCCCCCCCCCCCCCCC